TGGGCTGTAGTAACAACAAACAAATCCAGTAGAACGATCCCTTTCGGAAGGCAATTCGGCAAGAAGTGTCACAATTTCGCAAACCTTTTGATTCGGCAAACCCACTTCTAGCACTCTGTTTTATTGTTTCCTCCGCTCAAGGGGACACGATAATAAATATGATGCTTTCGTCGTGTTACTTGTGATACTGACAGGTGGAAAGAACCCAAGCCTCTGTCAAAGGGGACGGATTAAAAACCATGCTACCTCCCCAGTGAGGATCTTTCAAGTGAAATGTGCTGTGTAAGTGACCCTCTTGTGACTCAAGCTGCTCTGTGACAACACCTAGGACCCAGTTTTAAAATTTTCTATTTATTGGGGCGCCTGGGTGGCTCAGTCGGTTGAGCGTCCGGCTTCGGCTCAGGTCACAATCTCACGGTTTGTGAGTTCGAGCCCCACGTCGGGCTCTGTGCTGACAGCTCAGAGCCTGGAACCTGTTTCAGATTCTGTGCCTCCCTCTCTCTCTGCTCCTCCCCTGCTCATGCTCTGTCTCTCTCTCTCTCAAAAATAAATAAACATTAAAATTTTTTAAAAATTTTCTATTTATTGCTGAGTGTGGGATCCCCTTTGTTCTAAGCCTGGATCCCCACTGTGTGCCCGCCAGTTCCTTGAGGCCACTCGCTTTGCCTCCATGTCAAGAGCGGGTGCTCCTAACCCAGAACTCCCAGCAAGAGTCCTGCGTGTTACCTTCCTTGAATCAATTTCTGTGGCTGGATGAATGCACACCATCTTCTTTTCTTTTCTGGTTGGTTGGTTGTTTGTTTTCGGGAGAGCTTGTCCATGGATGGCTTTTGGATGCAGGTAGAGTGGATCCAACAGAAGGTTGGGCTGCAGGAAGAGGATGGCAGCGGGGGCATAGATCTGCTCCCACAGGGTGAGGAGCCTGCTGGCTGCCAGGGGGGCCCTCCGACAAGGGGAGATGTGGCAGGGGCCAGTCAGGAACCGGAAAAGGAAGGGGGCTTCCCTCACATCTGGACTGGTGCAGTATCTTCTTCACCCATTTCCCTGCCCCACCCTTGATCCCAGCTGTCCTGTCTCCATCTCTTCCACCCAATAGTCAAAATGGTCTTTTTATAATGTAAATTAGATTATGCCCTCCTTAGATTAAGTCAGTTAGCAAATATTGATGAGTGCCTATTACATGCCAGGTACTGTTTTAGGCACTGGGGATACAACAGTGAACACAAAGGAAAGTCTGTCCCCTGGTGGAGCTAACATTCGAATGCAATTCTAAGTACTCTGCTCAAAATTTGGATGTCTCCCCATCTCTCTCAGAGTGACAGACAACCACGGGGCCCTGTTATCTCTTACTACATAAGCACCCCAAATTTAGCAGTGTAGAGCAGCAGTCACTGTCATGATGGTGATGATGGTAATGATGGTGATGATGATGATGGTGATGATGGTGATGGTGATGGTGATGGTGATGGTGATGATGATGATGATGGTGATGATGGTGATGATGATGATGATGGTGATGGTGACGATGGTGATGATGATGATGGTGATGATGATGATGATGGTGATGGTGATGATGATGATGATGGTGGTGATGGTGATGATGGTGATGGTGATGATGGTGACGATGGTGATGATGGTGATGATGGTGATGGTGATGATGGTGATGATGATGATGATGGTGATGATAGTGATGGTGATGATGATGATGGTGATGATGATGGTGATGGTGATAATGATGATGATGGTGATGATGATGATGGTGATGATGGTGATGCTGATGATGATGGTGATGGTGACGATGGTGATGATGATGGTGATGATGATGATGATGGTGATGGTGACGATGGTGATGATGATGGTGATGATGATGATGATGATGGTGATGGTGATGATGATGGTGATGGTGGTGATGGTGATGATGATGATGGTGATGATAGTGATGATGGTGATGGTGATGATGATGATGGTGATGATGATGGTGATGGTGATGATGATGATGATGGTGATGATGATGGTGATGATGATGGTGATGATAGTGATGATGATGATGATGATGGTGATGATAGTGATGATGATGATGATGATGGTGATGATAGTGATGGTGATGATGATGATGGTGATGATGGTGATGATGGTGATGATGGTGATGATGATGATGTCTAACTGCTCTGGAGGTTAACAGGGCTCAGCGAGGCAGTTATACCTACAACAGAAGCTCCACAAAGCCACGGACATTGTCCGTCATTTTCACCGCTGCATCCTCGGTGCCAAGCACATTCTCATACTCTGTCCTTATTGGTTCAGTGGATGAGGTCATTGAAAGAGCATCCACATGGAAACCTCCTTGGTTTGGCACACATTTCAGCCCCCGGTTTCCAAAACATGTGGCTGTATGGGACACACTGATCCCCCCTTGGGGAGAGGCCTGAGGGTCTGCCGTGGCGTCTCAAGCGCAGAGCACACACGGGGGCTGGAAGAAGTGGGAGATGCCCCCACTGCAGGAAACCAACCTGCCACCATGACCTGGCCAGCAATCTCATTTCAAACAAAACAGAAAGACTGGGGCCAGGGTGGATAAAGGAGAAATCTGTGTGAATAACTAAATAAAAACAGGAGCTATTTTAGACCCGCAAGGCAGCAGGAGCCTCTGGGCGGCCCGGGCCAAGAATGTGAATATAGTCACTGCTTCTCCTTAACTTCTGCTTCTGCGAGTGGTGGTGGATGCTCCTTCTAATGGGTGGGATATCGGCTTTTTTGATGTTTTGTTGTTTTGGCTTTTTTTGAAATAGGCTCCATACCCGCAGGGGAGCCCAATGCGGGGCTTGAACTCAGGACTACGAGATCAAGACCCAAGAGTCGGACACTTAACCGACTGGGCCACCCAGGCGCCCCAGGTATTGACTTTTTTAAAGAATAGATTTGACTGAGGGGTGCCCGGGTGGCTCAGTCGGTGAAGCGTCCGACTTCAGCTCAGGTCATGATCTCACGGACCGTGAGTTCGAGCCCCACGTCAGGCTCTGGGCTGATGGCTCGGAGCCTGGAGCCTGCTTCCGGTTCTGTGTCTCCCTCTCTCTGTGCCCCTCCCCCGTTCATGCTCTGTCTCTCTCTGTCTCAAAAATAAATAAACGTTAAAAAAAAATTAAAAAAAAAAAAAAGCAATCTTGGGTTTTGTGAGCCACCAGGGCCTGGTTGACTAACCTGGTTAATGCTGGGCACAACCCTGCGCACACCCGTAGGTCTGCTCACACACGTGTGTGCCACTTCTTCCTTGAGCTCTCGGCTGTGCGCCGCAATGGGGAAGGAACGCACCAGGCCGACGTTTCCTTATTTCCCGGCTCTGATCTGAAGGCCCTACTGCCTTAGAGTAACCTGGGGAGGCTGTCCCAAGGGCAGATGCCCAGGCCCTGGGCTTGAACTCCTGGGTGGAATCTCTGGAGGCGGGACGCAGGAACCTGCGGTCTCAACGTGTCCCCACGATTCGGATGGCCGGTTTTGCTGTTGGGGCCACAGTGAAGCCTGGTGGGGGGATCTATTCCATCATAAATAAGGTCTTGCCTGGAGACGGACTTTCCAAGGGGACACTGACGGCTCACCCACGCTCGACACGGCTGGGCCCACGTGATTCTGCGGGGGTCTCTGCCAGATCTGGGAGGAGTGAATTCATGCTGCATTCCAGAACCAGAAGATGCCAGGGGCCGCCTCAGCCTGCTCTGTTCCCCAGGGGTTGCAGTGGTACAGGCTTAAATCTAGACAGTGGTTCATCCCATCGGGGTCCCCCGTATTCTCAGGTGTCTTGCTAGATTTCCCCCATTGAAAAGCGTGGTTGGTGTTAGGGGGTCTCATGGTCAGATATGTGGATGTCCCTTGTGTCCACGTGGGTAAGTGTTTTGATACGAGGCTTCGGTTAGTGCCTGTGGCTGAGCGTGTAGCTGGGTGTGTTCATCTCGGTGTTCACTGTCGGCCGAAGGAGAAGTCGGATCACCGTGGCTGCAGGATGCAGGCCTGCCAGGCCTCCTTGGAGGCCAGGGCTTGGACGGTGACCACCAGGGGCTCCTGTCCACCCTGACGCAGACCCAGATGGCTGCTGTGGGCCGGCTGGACGTCTACACCCGCTCAACCCAAAGACGGCACGAAGCACCTGCCGGAGGTGTCAGGGACATCTTTGGGGGCTTCAGTTCAACGGTGAGTGAGTGGCATAAGAGTTACTGCAGGACGTGTCTGCCCGGGGCCTCTGTGAGGCCATCACATCCTAAGTGTGACAGTGATTCTATTGCGGGGCTGTGTTGGGGTGTGTGTGTGTGTGTGTGTGTGTGTACAGTGGGAATGCTTGCCTGTGCACCTGCAGGCCACTATGTTCCCACTTTCCATGCAGGTCTTTATCGGCTATGGGATCTTGGGCAAGATTTCGGCACCTCAGCTGCTGCACCTGTGAAGGGGTTGGGACTGGCTCCTAAGTCCCGGGGCCGTGTGTCATCGGCTGCCCGCGGGGCTAACTGGGAGCCATCTGTAACTCGCAGAGGAAGTGTTTTCAGAGGATGGGGACCCAGCTCAGTTCTGGGGCTTCTAAATCTCCTCCGGGTAAGTGGCCCGCGTTCTCCAGGCGTGGGCATTCTCCAGCTACGCCACGGGCTGCTCCGTGAAGAGAAGGTTCACACCCCTGAGCATTTCACTCTGCCGGCAGGTGCTCGGGTAAAGGCCTGAATCCGCAGCCTAAGAGCTTGCTTCCTGGAGTCATGACCTCAGCCCCTGATCTTAGACAGTTGCTGCTGGGTTTAGTGAGCCCGTGCCCTTGCACGGGAAATCGCTTCCTAGAGCTCTGGGCTGGGAATCGATGAGGAGGTGGCCGGTCCTGACTGCCTCTCTGTTCTGTTTCCAGCCGCAGAATCTGGGCGGAGGCAGGCAGGGAGGGGAGGAGGGAGGAAGCCTTCCACGTGGACGCTGCCTGCTCGGGACAGGCTGTTTGGCTCCTGCAGAGGCCCCGCCACCCCTCACCCCCCCCTCCCCAGAGGCACCTGCTCAAAGTGTTCCCTGCTGGTGAGCACACTGCCCAGAGGGCTGGTGGCGGGCCCCATCCTCGGGCACCAGCACACCCCGCCTCGCCCTCCTCACCCCTCCATGCTGCCGGGCACCCAGCGCTCCGTTGTTGATTCCTCAGCTACCTACCCAGTAACTGCCCGCGTCGGGGACCGGGGAGCAGGGAGCTACGGGCACGTATGTTCTTCTTCATGTCCATTTACGTTCTTTGTCTTTATGCTTAGAAAGTCCTCCTTCATCCAGCAAACTGGTCACTGTCCACCTACCTGCATGTGTTTTTCTGGTTCTTTTTTTTTTTTTTTTTAATTTTTTTTTTCAACATTTTTTATTTATTTTTGGGACAGAGAGAGACAGAGCATGAACGGGGGAGGGGCAGACACAGAATCGGAAACAGGCTCCAGGCTCCAAGCCATCAGCCCAGAGCCCGACGCGGGGCTCAAACTCACGGACCGCGAGATCGTGACCTGGCTGAAGTCGGACGCTTAACCGACTGCGCCACCCAGGCGCCCTTCTGGTTCTTTTTTGAATGAGTTTCGGTGTCTGGTGTGAAAGAGAGAGACCCAACTTCTGCTTTCCTTTATTTCCAAAAGGCTCAACTGCCTCAGCACATTTCCTTCCAAATGAGAATGTAATCGTTTATATTTAGGTTTTTAAGACCGAAATAAAGTGCATGGTAAGGTGCGCCCATATTTACCTTGCACAGCTTGATGTGTGCACTGGGTAACTCCCACCAGATCCAGATCTACCCGTGAAGGCTCCCCCGTGCCTCCCCACTCGATCCCCATGGCCCCCCCCCCCACCCAGGGAAGCCACTATTCCGACCCCTCTCATCATGTGGAGGTTTCCCAGGTCCTGCTGTTACTAAAAGGAAAAGGTTCTCCACGGACCATACCTTGATGTGGTTGGATAGGTAACCCCGGGTAGCCGGCCCTGGGCCTTGTTCCAGAAGCTTCCCATGCACTGGCTCGTTTCCTTACCTCACCCTGGAAGGTGGGTGCTGTCACCACACCCCAACTTCACCGGCAGGAAAGGGGCCTGGAAGCCCAGAGCGAGATGACACAGCTGACGGATCCTGAGGTCCGAATGGACCCCCCCAGCCCACAGCCTTCCCCGGACGCCCGTTACTCCCCACTGTGTAGGAAGTACGCTCCCTCCCGCAGGAACCCCTACTCCACCGTGAAAGCACTTTCATTCACCCAAATAGAAGGTTTCCTTTTCATTTTGAGATACTTTTAGACTCACAACAAGTTGCAAAATTAGTACAGAGTTCCCGTGGACTCTTTACCCAGTTTCTCCCCGGGCAAAACATCTTGCATAAGCACAGTGCCTCAGGCAAAAGTTTTAAGTAATGCCTTTCAACTTCTGAAGCCTCAGGGACGATTAATGCTCAACATTATCTTACCTTCTAGACTTGATCATTGGATTGCCCCCATTAAACTGGGAACGATAGATAATGTTCAATGATCTAAAGATACCACTCGTTGACTTTTATGATGGACGAGGCTTTATGCCGAGTACTTCGCATGCACGATTTCACTTCATTCTCCTAAGCTGGCAGTAATTCCCTGAATAAGTAAAAAATAGTAATCGTTAACAATTGTTGACCACTCACGGTGTGTTAGGTACTGTGTTGTATATGCTGTATCTAATTTAATCTCCCCAAGTTCTGTGAAGCAGATACTGTCATTAGCCCCACTTTACAAGTGAGACCCGTGACACACAGAAAGGTAAAATGGTTTACCCAAACTCACAGGGACCGTCAGACTTTGAGCCGAGAAGGTGTGATTCCACAGCCTAGGCTGCAAGCCCTAAGCTGTAGGACAGCCATAACATTATTACGTACCACCTCAGCATGCTTCCTGTCCCTTCTTAGAGCCCTCGACTGGGCCACTGGGGAATCACCTGGTGGAGTCATCCAGGCCAGGCGAAACAAACCCCTCAGTCCCTCTCCCTCCCGTTTTTCATCTCTGGCGGCAGGAAGGCCCCGGGGGCTGCCTGCAGAACCCCACTGTGGCCTCTAGATGGCGGAGCCGAGCACAATTTATTTTTCAATTACTATTCCATCATTACTCAGAGTAATCCCAGGAGGAGCGTTGTAGCTGTGGGTGGCACTGCTAAGGGTAAAGACAGGTGGGGCGAGGGAGAGCAACAAAGGACCAGAATAGAAGCAATGATAAGAGGTCCGTGGGGTGTTCCCTCCCCTTCAGCCCTTCCTGTTGGAATACAAGTCATAAAAACAGCTTCCATTTATTGGGGCCTCGCTTAGGTTGGACCCTAAGCACTTTACACCCCTTAGGCCATTTTACAAAACCCTATGAGTCGGGCACTATGTCACGATCGGAGATGGGGATTTAGAGGCTCAGAATGTGATCCAGTCAGTCAGCGATAGAGTTTGAACTTGAACCTGGGATGGAATCCTGAGCCCCTGCTCTCTCCTCATAACCTCCTGCAGGGGGTGGGAAAGCCTCAACACAAGTCAAGGCACCTGACCTGAGCCATTGTCTTCACTCCCCTCCCTAGGAGTTTATGATCCCCAAAGGCAGATTTGGGGATAGGAGACTTGTCTCTACAGGACATGCGGGAGATCTCTGCTCTGGCCCCTGACCCCACCACTGCGCCTGGAGCCCTCCTTGGCTTGGTCCTGAAGAGGAGTAAGACCAGGAAGCAGGAGGCACAGGTCTGTGGTCCTGGTGCTTCAGAAACTCTCATTGAGGGAGCTGTGTGGAGAATCTTCCACGAACACATACTTAGCTGCTGTATTTCTTTCTGTTATTTATATACATATACGTGTATTTTTGCACATGAAAACAATCCCTACTCATTGTAGGAAATTTGGAAAGTAAAGCAAAACACAATAAGGAAAAATATAATGCAGATATAAGTGTTATTAACTTTCAGTGCATCATCTTCCTCTGTGTGTGTGTGTGTGTGTGTGTGTGTGTATCTTTTTTTCACTAAATATAGAATTATGGACATTTCCCAGTGCATCATTCAATTATTGCCACAATAATGCATCATCACAAACAACCCAAACTCACGACTTAAAACAATTAGTTACTTTCGTTTGCATGGTTTTGGGTGAACTGGGGGTTGGCTGGCTGATCTTGGCTGGCCTTGACTCAAGCTATTGACTGGGTCTGGGTCTGCTTCTAATGTCTCTCATCCTTCTGGGCCCAGCAGGCCATCTGAGGCCTGTCCTCATGGCATCAGTGGCAGAGCAAACCCTGCCACACAAAGTATTTTAAACCTCTGCCTGCATCATGGGGATCATTGGTCCATTGGTCCAAGCTATCACCTGGTTGACTAGTGAAGGAATGACGAAGTATCTTCTGTTTCTTTAATGGGAAGAATTCCAAATTCATATGGCAAAGGGTGTGGATACAAGGAGGGGTAACGAACTGGGAACAATGTTATTATTTATCACAACTATCGATAACATTCTTTGAAAACATGGTGTTTACTCAGGGTAGTTATTTTCTTCCTTAGGGATATATTCTAATTTATTTAACCATTTCCTTATTACTGGACATTTATTATTTCCTTGTTTCTCTTATTGAAAAACACAATCTCAATTCTTCTATGTGAAACTTTGTGTCTTAGATTATCTGGAACTTACCTACTAAGTTCTTGGTGTTAGTTACCCTTCAGTGGTGCGTTGGTTCAGAGAGTGTTCATTTCACTGCATCATTGTCAACATGATACATTGTGATTTTTTGTTTGTTTCTTTAAAGACAAGAAGATGGTGGGTAAGACAGACCAGGGGTAGGGGGGTTGCAGAGGGGTAGACAGTTGAAGAGAGAAGGAGGGTCGAGTAGATTTGGAAGGAAGAGCTTGCCCTGGAAGACTGCAAGACAGAATGAAGAAGACCTGGGGATAGGTCTTGGGAACTTGGCCCCTGCCTGCAGGGCTAGACCCTCCACCCCAGACCACTGGTACACACCTTACCCAACGCTCCCTGGGGCAGCAGCACATTTTCCTTTCAACGCCTCTTTACTAGCTCAGATTTTTTTGATCTGTGATGCAGCTAATGTTTTCATCACTGCCGAGACCAAGGGTTCTGCTCGAGAGATGGGAGGTTTCAGCTCAACCATTCTCCAGAGAGCTCGGTCCTCACGCAGGGAAAGAAGTCTGGCTCCAGTCGCCCAGATCTTGCAGGTTGGAGCCCAAACGTCATTCCAGGATGTGAAATGCCCCTTCGGCTCTTGACGTCCCACAGAAACACGCTGAGGCGTGCCCCTCGACTCCCTGCTGGAAGCTGACTGCAAAGCCCTCCCCAGCACCCCGGGGCCCGCTGATCCTTCAGGCCGTAAGTTGTCCCCAGCTTAGGCTCGTTTAGCGCATGAGAGGCTGCATCTGGGGCCACTGTTGGGAGATGTCTAGTCTGGGGGGGTAAGAGCGTGGACCTTAGAATAGGGAATCCTGGTTTCAAATTCTGGCTCTGACACTTGCTAGCTCGGAGACTGGGGGTGAATTTTTGGACCTCTGTCAGTATCTGTGAAGTGACTTTATCGTAACAGTATCCCCTTTTTGTTAAGGGCTAAATGAGAAAAAGGGATATAAAGCCCTCAGAGCACCAGTGGGCCCTGGAAGCAGCCAAGAAGGCCATTGTCCTACTCCTAGCTCTCTCTCCTTCCCGGTTTTCGTGGCAGACAAACACACCCCTTTGAATCCCACTTTGCAAGGTGCTGGTTGAAACGTTGGCTTCCTTCTCTCATAGCTGCTATCCTGTTCTGGAAAAGAGAGGACTGGGGCACCTGCATGGCTCAGTTGGTCAAGCGTCCGACTCCTGGTTTAGGCTCAGGTCATGATCTCACGGTTCCGTTCATGGGTTCGAACCCCGTGTCGGGCTCTGCCCCGTGTCGGGCTCTGTGCTGACAATGTGGAGCCTGCTTGGGGTCCTCTTTCTTCCTCTCCCCGCCCCCCCCCCCAATAAATAAACTTTAAGAAGAAAACAGAGAGAGGGCTGGACACGAAGGCATTCTCAGGGTGCCTGGATCCCAGGCCAGGGTCAAGGTAATGGTCTGGCTTCCCCCACATCATCCAGGCTGCATCTCTCTCCTTGAGCCAGGAGAGGATCCAGTTCCCAGCTTGTTAGCGTTCTGTGTTTGGGTGAGGGCATTCTAGGAGGGTGAAAGCGAGGAGACGGCGCAGAATGGCAGGCCGGGGAGGCTGCGGGCCCTGGAGGCAGCCTGCCGACGGGTATTGAGCGAAACCCTGTGCCATGTGATTTACCCAATTAGACCGTTTAATCCGCGAAGACTGTTATGGCCACGTTCTATACTGTACAAAACGTTAAAGTGGCCGCGTTTTTTGCTTCAGCCGGTTGTAATGTAAAATGCTATGAATGAGGTGTGTGTTAAAAGAGAAACTTTCAGAAGGGATCTATGCCTCAAGTTTTCGTACATTTAAAGGCTTAGCTTTATTTTTCTGTAAAGTGCGGCATATTCCCACATTTGTGCATAGTCCTACTGATCAGACGTTTAAAACTATTTCCGATACTTCATTAAAATAATTGATTACAGGGGAGCCTGGGTGGCTCTGTTGGTTAGGCGGCCGACTTCCACTCAGGTCATGATCTCGCGGTCCGTGAGTTCTAGCCCCGTGTCGGGCTCTGTGCTGACAGCTCGGAACCTGGAGCCTGCTTCAGATTCTGTGTCTCCCTCTCCTGTTCATGCTCTGTCTCTCCCTGTCTCAAAAATAAATAAACGTTAAAAAAATTTTTTTTTAAATAATTATTACAGGAAAATAAAAGAATGACTCAGCCCTCAGAGGTGGGTGCTATTACTTTGCAGATGAGGAAACTGAGGCCCAGAGGAGGGGTAGAGCAAGTGTTACTGGAGCCTTGGGCCAACTGCTCTTTGGTGCCCCTCCTTCCTTCTGGGGAGGGAGCAAAGGCTGGAGAGAGATTTCCACACTGGCTTTTAAAAAAAAAATTTTTTTTTTTAAGTTTATTTATTCATTTTGACAGAGACAGAAACAGGGTGGGTAGGGGAGGGGCAGAGAGAGAGGGAGAGAGAGAAAATCCCAAGCAGCCTCTGCACTGCCGGAGCACAGCCCCGTGCGGGGCTCGAACTCACGAAACCACGAGGTCATGACCCAAGCTGAAACCGAGAGGGTCGGACGCTTAACCAACTGAGCCCCCCCCCAGGAGCGCCTGTACGCTGGCCTTTTCAGCGGGGACGAGTGTCCCCACCACGACGCGTCCGAGTTGCTCAAGAGGTTCCTCCGGGAGCTGCCCAGCACCTCCCCGCCTCCGCCGCGCTGCCCAGTGAAGATGCCCCAGCCCTTTTCCTTTGGGGAGAAGAGCATTTGATGTCAGTGGCCTTGGTTGGACAGGGGCATGGTGGGAAGACAACCTGGTCCCTGTGATCTGACGCCGATGGGGGAGGAGCTGTGTGTGTGAGGGTACACGTGCGTGTGTGTGCATGTGTCTGGTGTGTGCCGTGTGTGTGTGTGACGAAACACACACCTCCAGCCTCGTCTGGGAAACCGCTGTCCACTAAGCCTGAAGGTGGCTCGAACTCTGGGTCCCCTGCTCCCTGGCTCCCTCTAGGGGCTAAATGCCCCTCCACACACACACACACACACACACACACACACGCACGCACACAGTACCAAATCAGGGCTGCAGCCCCAAGTTCAACAAATAAGTATTACCCTGTGTGCGGTGCTGGGACGGGGAAGAGGCCACGGTGACCCTCGCGGGCTCTGCCTGTCTCCTAAGCCGTCATTCTTTCCGGCCAGGTCGCCTCTTTCTTGGTCTCTCAGGTGCAAGAACTGGATAACAGCAGTGGCCGCGCCCCCAGCTCTGCGACGGGGGCCTCGAGACCTGGCTGCGAAGATTACACGCAGAGAGGGACCAGGTGAGTGTCCCCTACGCCACGGGGACAAGCGCCGCTCACAGCCTGGCTGCCGGGACCCGCGCTGCTGTTTCGACCACCAGGGGGCGCTCCGGCCCCGTCGGAGCGAAAGAGGAGGCGATGTCTCCGGAAACCCGGGAGAGACCTGGCTGAACAAGGAGGACACTGACGCGCTGTGGGGACTTCCAGAAGCTCTCTCCCCTGCCCCACGTTCAGGCAGCCTTTTGTGTGCCTGATCGAGGGTTAGGGAAGTGGGGGTTGCTTGGTGAACTGTGGGGTGACTGGGGTGAGGAGAGGAGTGGTAGAAAAGAAAGGCCTTCCGAGAATATCTAGTGCTCCTGGGAGGAGTCCTGAGCAAGGTTCCGTATTCAAGTCCTGAACAGAGAAATGGACCAGTGTCCCGTTGTGCATGAGGTGCGTTTATATAAACCCACACGCTTGTGTCTGTCGATGCATTACATGTACTCCTGTTGTGTGTACGAGAACAAAGGCATGTGCACACGTATGTTTCCGTGCCTGTTTGTATATGCACACTTTGGGGACATCACGTATGTGAACATGACATGCTCTGTGCGCACACCGCTGGCGTGCATGTGTATGTGCGCATCTTGTATTTCTAGCGTGGGTGTTCGTGCAAGGGCACGGGTATGTGTGTTTATGCTCACAAATTTGAATTCCAGGCATGCATGTGTGTGCCTCTGTGGATGGATCTTTTTTCTCTGCAGACTCCCAAAGTGGCAAAGGCCAGGTGACCCGGCCTATCACAGATCCCCTGGGGCTCTGACCCCCAGCACCAAAATAGCCCATATCCTCAGGCAGTCACAGAGCGCCTCAGTCCTGGTTCACAGGGTCAAGAAGGCAGTAAGAACACAGACAGCCTCCTTCCTGGATAAGGGTCACTTCCTTGAGACAGGAGACTTTCCCCTGCAGGGGGCAGATGCAAAGAGAGGTCAGCCCCTCAGAACTGAAGGTCACGGAGGCCAGTCGCTCATGCCATTGGCTTTTCCCTTTCTGGGGTGGTCAGAACTGGGTTCT